TAGAACTCACCATCTCCCGGTGATTGGCCCAAAATCATCCAGCCATTTTTCATGCTTAAGGCAAGACTAGAACTCACCATCTCCCGGTGATTGGCCCAAAATCATCCAGCCATTTTTCATGCTTAAGGCAAGACTAGAACTCACCATCTCCCGGTGATTGGCCCAAAATCATCCAGCCATTTTTCATGCTTAAGGCAAGACTAGAACTCACCATCTCCCGGTGATTGGCCCAAAAACACCCAGCCATTTTTCATGCTTAAGGCAAGACTAGAACTCACCATCTCCCGGTGATTGGCCCAAAATCATCCAGCCATTTTTCATGCTTAAGGCAAGACTAGAACTCACCATCTCCCGGTGATTGGCCCAAAATCATCCAGCCATTTTTCATGCTTAAGGCAAGACTAGAACTCACCATCTCCCGGTGATTGGCCCAAAGTCACCCAGCCGGTTTTCATGCTTATTGCAAGACTAGAACTCACCATCTCCTGGTGATTGGCCCAAAGACACCCAGCCATTTCGCTTCACGAACTGAAGAAGCTTCTTGGATGAGAAGCGAAATGTCTTCAAAGAAAAAACAAGACAGTCCAGTTGCCTCTTGAAAAAAGCACCTTTGGGACAACCATGACCTGGAGGACTGAGGATCTCCGCAGACCTTCTCGTTCTTCTCTCTTTCCTTCAGGTTTTGAGCCGCAGGACCGGAATCCCAATCAGCTTGTCGGTGTTGTATTTGACGATTGCCAAGCAGTTGGGCGTCCAGCTCGAAGCGGTCAATTTCCCCAGTCACTTTCTGCTCAGATGGTGCCAGGGAAAAGAAGGGTAAGCTTCATTTCTCCCCATCCCCCATCTGTTCCACTTCTGTGCAATTCCTCCCCAGGGGGCGAGAGGGAAGATTTACCGTATTTTTCGGACTATAAGACGCACCAGAGTATAAGATGCAGCATGATTTTGAAGAGGTACGTTTTAAAAAAAAAGTTTTTGCACTCTGCAGGCCTCCGAAAATCTCTGCACGCCTCGGTTTTTGCAAAAAGAAAAAGTGTGGGAGGGCATGCAGACCTCTGGGGGACTTATAGAGTGCTCCTGGGGGCTGGAGGGGGCTGTTTTTTGCTCATTTTTGCCCTCCCCAGCCCCCAGAAGCACTTTGCAAGCCTCCCAAATCCTCTGCATGTTCCGTTTTTGCAAAGGGGACGGGGTTTCAGTAGGCCAAAAATGCTGTATTCAGTGTGTATAAGATAGCAATAGCAGTTAGACATATACCGCTTCATAGGGCTTTCAGCCCTCTCTAAGCGGTTTACAGAGTTAGCGTATTGCCCCCACAGTCTGGGTCCTCATTTCACCCACCTTGGAAGGATGGAAGGCTGAGTCAACCTTGAGCCGGTGAGATTTGAACCGCTGANTTATATACTGCTTCACAGTGCTTTCTGGCCCTCTCTAAGCGGTTTACAGAGTCCGCCTCTTGCCCCCAACAATCTGGGTCCTCCTTTTACCAACCTCAGAAGGACAGAAGGCTGAGTCAACTGGAAGGAAGGAAGGAAGGAAGGAAGGAAGGAAGGAAGGAAGGAAAGAAAGGACAATAGCAATAGCACTTAGACTTATATACTGCTTCACAGTGCTGTCCAGCCCTCTCTAAGCGGTTTACAGAGTCAGCCTCTTGCCCCGAACAATCCGGGTCCTTCTTTTACCCACCTCGGAAGGACAGAAGGCTTAGTCAACCGGAAGGAAGGAAGGAAGGAAGGAAGGAAGGAAGGAAGGAAAATAGCAATAGCACTTAGACTTATATACCGCTTCACAGTGCTGTCCAGCCCTCTCTAAGTGGTTTACAGAGTCAGCATATTGCCCCCAACAATCCAGGTCCTCATTTTACCCACCTCGGAAGGACGGGAGGCTGAGTCAACCTTGAGCCTGGTGAGATTTGAACTGCCAAATTGCAGGCAGCCAGCAGAAATAGCCACAGTACTGTCCTCTAACCACTGCGCCACCACGGCACCATGGCTAACGTATAGGTAGTCCTCGGCTTACGACCACAATGCACCCCCAGATTTTTGTTGCTAAGCGAGACACTTGTGAAGTACGTTTTGCTCCGTTTGATGGTCTTTGTCGCCACGATGGTTAAGCGAATCGCTGCAGTTAGCAACGTGGCCGCTAAGCGAATCTGGCTTCCCCATTGACGCGACCCCATTGAGTTAAGCTTCCTCTCTCTTGGTTGCTTCTCTCTGAAGCCCCTCTCCATGAGCCTCCCGCCCTCCGTGCAGACGCTCCCTCTTCTTTCCCTTTGCAGAGAATCTGGAACTCAACCCAGAACCTCACGAGATCCCTCACCCAGACATCGGTCGCTACTTTGAGGAGTTTGCCAACACGTACTACCTGGCCAACCCGGAGTTGGAGATCCGATACCCCGAGGATATGGAGCTCACGCGTTTAGCTGGCCAGAAAACAGAAGAGAGCAAAGAATGAGATTTCTCTCTCTCTCTCTCTCTTTCCCTCTCTCCCTCTCTTTTCTTCCACGCCCTTCCCCTTTGTGAGGACAGAAGAAACTTCGTACAGCGGCGGTGGGGATTTCATCACGAGGAAGCAGCTGCTGGTCTGAGGAACTGCATTTTGCTAGCTAGTAGTGAAACTCCGTGTTGTGTAACCCCCCCTCGGCTGCGTTGTGCTGACACTTGTCAAAAACCCACGTGGGTCGTGCAGAGTTTTAGAAACCTTCTCTGAAGGTTCCTCTCCCCCCTGGGCTCCAAAATGAAGAACTTCCGAGACTTAAAAAAAGTTCTCATTCAGGAAATTCTGCCAATTGGAAGCCGTGGATAATTTCTAGGTAGGCCGTTTCTGGAACTAACGCAACATCTGTCTTTGACCAGCAACGAGATGCCAAAATCTTAGGAATGACATTTGATTTTCTTCCTTACTCAAAAGATCCTCCTATAGAAACATTGTCAGGGCCTCTCTCTCTCCACTGCTTCAGGCCAACAACTCATTTTTTTTAATTTTTTTTTAAATGCCCTGGGTTGTTGTCGTGTCGTTTTCCTGCAGAATATTCCATTAGACAACACCACCTGGGTGATGAAGCCGGAGATGAGCATCCTTCTTTCGTTCTGCTTGTTTGCTTGCTGCTCACTCCATTTTTTTAAAAAAAGAGGACAAAACAGCGTATTTCTCAAGCATAACCGGGAGGAACAGAAACCACCGAAGGACGCGGTGTTAATTGTCTAAAAAATGTCCTTTTCTCAGGGTAAAGATCGGCGCCGTTTTGATTTTTTGCACGCCGTCTGGCAGAAAGAAATGATTTCGTCGGTTGTAAATAATATATTTTGAGGCGGTTGGAAGATGTAATTTTGTGAGCTGGTGTGTCTGGGCAGAGTGCCGCTGACACCGGCTGGATCCGCGCCTTTTAGGGACAGAGAGGAGGTAAGCTTTTAATTATCGGGTTGTAAAAGGATAAAATGATACGCTTCTACGATCTTTTTAAGTCCTGAACGTTGCTGTTTTGTAGCAGTGAAATTGCTATTTTCACAGGCTCACCCCCCTTCATTTGCATGCTGTGTTTTCATACACTTCTGCAAGCGCATTTNATACATACATACATACATACATACATACATACATACATGTTGTCATCATTATCCCTCCTTTATTTGACTATATCCTGTATCATAATATGTTACCCCTAATAATCAAAACTTAACTGTCTCTAACTTAACTTACGTCCTGGCTTTCCCCACTTAGTTGAAAGTGTGTTGAACTCAACCAGTTTGTATTTTTGATATCCCCAGTACTTGCTTCTCTTAATTGGCTAAACTCCTACAAACCTTAAAACTCTTGTTGGCAAGCACTGTTCTATAAAATTCTCATGTATATTTTTCTCTCTCGTCGTCCTTTGTGGCTGAAAAGGACTTTCTTTTTTTATCCCATTCAGGTTTTGAATGAGTCGTTTTCACCATCTGGATATTATTCTCTGTATCGCTGCTGTTTGTTTGTTTGCTTTGATTTACTGCTGTTATTTTAGCTGTTTTGTTTTTTTGTGTAACTTATTTTTTTTCATCTCTTGTTGCCTTTTCTGTATAATTCAGCTTCATTTTTTCTTGCAGGATGAGGATTTTTGTTTTAAATTAAAGTTGCCAGATAGTATCTACGTTGCTGAAAAAGCAATTTTAAAAAAATCAGCTCTAACCTATTTGACTTATCATTTGGGGCTGGGCAATAACAGTATTTTGTGTGTTTTACCCTTTTGAACCGTCTTCAGAGGGTAGTGTATCCAGCAAGGCGGTATTAAAAAAAACAACTACATAAATTCAGATAAACGTGGCTCACTTTTGCGACCTTTGGACTAAAATAACTGTTTTTAGACCTGTCTCTAAATCAGAAAACACAGTTTCTGTCTCCCATTCTAACTCCACCCTTTTGTAAATATTATATTAAGTGAAATGGGAAAAAGGGAGAGGATCCAGAAATATTGGTTTAAGCTTCAATCCATTGTATTATAATTAACCTTTAAAAAAATTAACTTATAAAAACAGTGTCAAAAAGGAAATACACAGAATTTCAGGTACACAATCACAGCTAGTCCTTGACTTAGAACTGTTCAAACAGTGACAGAGGGCTGGACTAGAAGACCTCTAAGGTCCCTTCCAGCTCTACTCTATCCTATCCTATCCTGCTATTCTATCCTATCCTTCTATTCNCTCATTGACCATGGAGGTCCAAGTCCTCATTGATCATGGAGGTCAAGATCCCCATTGACCATGGAGGTCCAAGTCTTCATTGCCAAGGGGTTCCAAGTTCTCAATGACCATGGAGGACTAGATTCTTATTGACCATGGAGGTCCAAGTCCTCATTGCCAAGAGGTTCCAAGTTCTCAATGACCATGGAGGACTAGATTCTCATTGACCATGGAGGTCCAAGTCCTCATTAACCAAGGCCCAACTCCCCACATGACCATGGAGAAGTCGTGGTGCTCCGCTACTGGAGGCTCTTAAGAAGAGACTGGATATCCATTTGCCAGGAACAATATAGAGTGGAGATACTGAACTCTTCCAGACAATTGTCCGTCCAGTCTCTTCCTGAAAGCTTCCAATGAGCAGAGGGTTGGACTAGAAGACCACCAAGGTCTCTTCCAGCTGTGTTATTGTTACAGAACACAGAAGGGTGGTTTAGAAAGGCAGCAACATCTGATCTAACCACTGAAAGAAACTTCAAAACAATAGCAGTTTTTTATGACAATGGAAGAAAGGACTAGTTATATATATCGCTCTTGACCACAGCGGCATTGTATAAGCAACAATATTAATATTGCATTGGATGCAAGGTCTGGGTTAGTGGCTGGTCAGCTAACAGTGTAGTTGATTGACAGTGGGACATCACAGCTACGTGATGGTAAATGTCTCTGTGAAAACATGATTTGATTTGAACGTGTTGCTGTCTGTTTGCTAGGGAAAGCACTGACCAGTCATACCAGCTCCTGAGAGACTCTCTGGACTTGTATTTGGCCATGTATCCGGACAACGTCCAGCACCTAATGCTCCAAGCGAGACTCTATTTTCACCTGGGAATCTGGCCAGAAAAGGTACTTGGGATTCGTGCTACGTAGAGCAGGCATCCGATGCATGAAATAATCAGAGAGATGGATGGATGTTGGAGTGGTGCAGTGGCCTAGAGGTGGCGCTCTCGCCTCAAAATCAGGAGGCTGTGAGTTCGATCCTAACTAGAGGCAGATTTTTCCCTCTCTGGGCACAATGAGGATATATCTGCTGAACAAAACTCCTCATTGGCGACAGGAAGGGCATCTGGCCATTAAAACACTCCGCTAGCTCCAGTCATTTGCCCAGACTCATTTGCCCCACCCAAGGGATTATAGTATCATTAAATGATGAGGATGGATGGATGAAAGTTGCTTCTCCTCAAGAGTTTAGTTTTCTCTGCTCCTTTCTCTTCCTTTTTGAAAAATTGGATGTCAGGCCTGCAGCCATCTTTTCTTTTGGGTCTTTGGCCTGCCTCACTTTTCTATTATTCTACTATGCCTTTTCTATTGTGAGGAAAAGGGGAGAGGGGGTTGTAGGAGTGACACGCGATGTAGCCATAATAANGGACTTCAAGTCTCCAAGGTTGAGAAACACTGGGTTAACCTACAGGGAGTAACAGCTCGGAGGTTCGAGTTAGATTATCTCTCTGGCAACATGCGTGCACCCTTCGACATGCGTACAGGTAGTCCGTAACGGAGCCTGCCCATTATGTCCATAAGACGTATTCTGAAGAGAGAGGGGGGGGGGTTCCCTTGAGGATGAGCTCCAACTCGAGGCCCAAAACCTGGAAGAATAAACCTTTGGTCCTGGTGACCAACTCCTATTGGATCCTACTGTCGGGGTTCCAAGCAATACAACCCATCGCAAACAAAACTTTTAATTAGGTGAAAACGGGGGGAATCTTCAGAGTCGGTTTTCATCAGAACCATGCCGATATGATGCAAGTAGATTCCTCAAAAGAATAGTTTTATTGGGTATAATCATATTGGCACAGTTCTGGTGAAAATTGACTCTGAAGATTCCCACAGTTTTCACCTAATTAAAAGTAAACTTTTTTTTCACCCTTTTCCCCAAACAATCCAGTCACGTCAAGGTGCTGTCCCGTGTCGGGGTTTCCAAGTGACACCCCCAACGAGAGAAGACTCCGAGGGTTGAGGATCCTCAAAGCTCCATTTTATTAGAGATGTCCTATTGGCACATCTGGGAAAACCAGAATCTGAAAGCTTCCCGGTTTTCCCGACGCAAATGAAAGCCCAAAACCCAGCACCCACATGTCCATCATATGGCCCAACCAGGCACTATGCTAAACTGGAGATGCCTCCCAGTCACGCCACTCCAGGTGCAGGGCAAGACGTCCTTGACTCTCTGAGAAAAGAATGCTGTTTTGACTATGTATCTCCCATTCTCCATATAATTCCCCCCACCTCTCATTTTCCCACAGCATAAAATGTTGCATGGCCAGAAGGCCCAGTGCAAAAGATGACTTCCAGGCTGGTTGCCTGGTAACGTCACTCCTCCTCCTCTGACTAGGTGTGAGAATGTCCTTGGTTCCCAGGAGAAAGTATTTGGCTACAAAACCCCAGCAATTTCTATTCCCCCTCCCTCCCTGTCCCTCGGCTCCAATGTGGCAACACTAAAGCTTCGAAATGGCCCCGGTGAGGTCAGCTTCAGGGTTGACACCACGCAGTAAGTCATAAAGCAGGTCATCGCATAACCAACCCAATTTTTACGGCCTCTTGTGTGCTGTGGCAATTAAGCAAATCACCATGGTTGTTATAACAAGGCCATTGGGCACAACGAGGCATTTGTGCCAAAAACCAAAAGTAAATGCTTGTTTTCAGCAAACACGTCGTCAATTGCAATCATCTCACACACACACACACGCACACACGCACACACGGGACATTGTAAATGATTGCCCACCACCCAAAATGCAGGCGCAGGGATGGGAGTGTCCCTCGGAACTTCAGAACTAGGACATAGACACCTCTTGGGAGGTCCAGTGTAATTTTGAACAGTCAACATTTTGAACGGAACGGTCGTAAGTCGAGGACTACCTGTAGATCTTTGGATCGTGGCGGTGACAGCCGAATCCACTGGTGCATTGCATCAGACTGACATTGTTGTCTCTCGCCAAGGCAGGCGCCCACGGGGATCGCCTCCCTAGAGACGGGAGCCCGTGCTGACTCCCAGGCGCAGGATCCTGTCTGAATCATCCTGCAAGATCCAACAAAGATGACCGACGAAGACGCAGAAGCGGGGGGGGGGGGGAGCTGCGAAGACCACCCATCCCCTTCCTTCGCGGCTGTTTGAAAGCCAATCTCAAAAGCCCAATGGGACGAACTAACCTATGCAGTTCACGCAGCACCGCCCCCTCTCATTAACTTGTGAGGGGTTTTAGCAGTACCCCCTCCCTATTTTAGCCATGCACTGTCTCCCCCCCCATCGATGGGGAGACGGTGCGGCTGAGAAACGAACCACGAAGCTGCCTCAGACTGCACCCTTCAGCCTGCAGCTGGCTGCGGGTCCCTCTTATCCCTGGTCAGATAAGCTCGATCAGAAGTGTTTTCATTTCCCCCTCTGGATTGTTCTGCATGCCTGCCTCTTTCTCTCCTAAACTCTTTTTCCCCCCCTAAAGCGCTTGGAATTTCTCCTTCATCTGAATGGTGCTATATAAATCCATCCATATCTGTGTCTCTATCTATCTCTTTCTCTCTTTCTATGACCTATATCTCTATCATCTCTCTATTTATATCATCTCTCTCTCTCGTCTATCTATATCATCTATCATATCTCTATCTTCTATATCATCTATATCTTATCTATNCTGCTATTCTATCCTATTCTATCCTATCCTTCTATCCCATTCCTATCCTATCCTTCTATTCTATCCTATCCTATCCTGCTATTCTATTCTATCCTTCTATTCTATCCTGTCCTATCCTGCTATTCTATTCTATCCTTCTATTCTATCCTATCCTATCCTGCTATTCTATCCCATTCCTATCCTATCCTGCTATTCTATCCTATCCTATCCTGCTATTCTATCCTATCCTTCTATCCTATCCTATCCTATCCTATCCTTTTATTCTATCCCATTCCTATTCTGCTATTCTATCCTCTTCTATCCTATCCTTCTATCCTATCCTGTTCCGTTGTATTCTATTCCTATCCCATGCTATCCTTCTATTCTATTTTATCCTATGCTATCTTTCTATTCTATTCTTACAAGTTTAACGATCGGCATGATGTACTGGGCTCAATCATAGTCGTAAGTCGAGGATTATGGCGCCCTATGCTACCTTCTGAAAAGGCTGAAATGAACATCCTAGATTGGACTTACTAAATGTCGAGTTATAGGAGGATTGATTGATTGATTGAGAGCTGTTTAACTTTCTTAAAGGTTCTGGACATCCTGCAGCACATCCAGGCCTTGGACCCTTCCCAGCAAGGAGCCGTGGGGTATCTAGTCCAGCACACCCTCGAGCACATCGAGCGTCGGAAAGACGAGGCCGGGCCCGATGTGAAACTCCATTCGGACGAGAAACACAAAGACATCACCTTTTCCATCGGCCTGGTTATGAAGCACAAAAGGTGAGAGCCACCACCAGCTGCAAAAGTGGGAATCAACATCTGTACAACCAAAAAAAAAACCAACTCCAAACAGTGCAAGAGAGGCGTGTTTTTGTCAGCCTTGTAAGGTAGACCAGGAAAACACATCACCAAGTGGGACACTTGTTTTATTTTTTCTTAGAGTAATAAGTAGAAGAGATGAAACAAGAATAATGAATTCCTAAATAGATTATCTCATCTGTCTTTCTGTCAATCTATCTGCCTGCCTGCCTCTCTCTCTCTCCCTCTCTCTTTCTCCCTCTTTCATTCTCTTTCGCTCACTCTTTCTCTCTCCTTTGTTTCTCTATTTCTCATTCTCTTTCTCTCTCCCTCTCTTTCTCTCTCCTTTGTTTCTCTCTCTCTTTCTCCTCCCCCTTTCTCTTTGTCTCTCTCTCCCTCATTCTCCCTCTCTTTCATTCTCCCTCCATCTCTCGTTCTCTCCCTCTTTCTTTCTCTCTCTCATTCTCTTTCTCTCACTCTTTCTCCTTTGTTTCTCTATTTCTCATTCTCTTTCTCCCTCTTTCTCCCTCTCTTTCTCTCTCCTTTGTTTCTCTCTCTTTCTTCTCCCCCTTTCTCTTTGTCTCTCTCTCCCTCTTTCATTCTCTCCCTCTCTTTCATTCTCCCTCTCCCTCTCTCATTCTCTCCCTCTTTCGTTCCCTCTCTCATTCTCATTCTCTCCCTCATTTCCCAACTAACATTTCCTAGAAGACAAAACTTTTGAGATAATTGCTTGTCCCTGCTTCTTGATCTCCCAGGCCCTTCTCCACCATCCTAGTTTATTTTTATCCTCCTCCCCACCGCCAGCAACTGGGCAGACTTCCATGCAGCTCTGACCTCCAGCCTTTCCCATCTCCTGTTTGCTTGGAACTTGAAATCTAGCTTGAGGCTAAAATCTTCTGAAAATAAAGGTGCAGCCCCACTGCCGATAATCTACTTTCCGTTTTGATCACTTTAAAAAAAAAACATGTAGTTAAGTGAACTTGGTGGGAGCAGAGGGACATAGTGGTGAATGCCCGTCTTTTAAATCCCACACTTTTAAAGAGTAGAATATATATATCGGAGGGAAAGGTTTTGGCTCAGAACAAGCTTTGCTTCCTGACTTTTGCCCAAGCCAAACGAAACAAACAGACCCTTAACTGCTCAATGAAGCTGCTGATAAGTAACAGCTCTAGAAGGTGTATAATCAGTGGAGAAATATGTAATAAATGTGTTTGTAGGAGAGAATGTTTCCCACGGTTAGCAACAAGGGGAGAAGATAAATAGTTCTAAGTTGTAGCATATGGGTGAAATCTTCCCTAAGTCATGAATGAGTGTGAGTTTATATGTCTACAATAAAGGAGAATATTTGGTGTTGAAACGAGGGGTCCTTGGTGCTCTCTGAGCTTACTTGTTTTCTTGCAGACGTTTCGTGACCCAACTAGAGAACATCATCAGTGCTAGAAGGGATTGGGTCTGGAGATAGATAGATAGATAGATAGATAGATAGATAGATAGATAGATAGATAGATAGATAGATAGATAGATAGATAGANATCTATCTGTATCATCTATCTATATCATCTATCTACCTACCTACCTACCTCTATCTATCTATATGATCTATATCTTATCTATCTATCTGTCATCTATCATCTATCTATATCATCTATCTCTATATAGATAGATAGATAGATAGATGATAGAGATAGATGATAATCTATATCTATCTACATCTACCTACCTACCTACTTCTTTCTGTCTTTCTATCTATCATCTTTATCTCTATCTTCTAGCTCTATCATCTATCTTATCTATCTATATATCATCCATCTATCTCTAGATAGATAGATGAGATAGATGATAGAGATATAGATGATAATCTATATCATCTATCTGTATCATCTAACTATATCATCTACCTACCTATTTCTATCTATCTATCTCTATCATCTATCTATCCATCCCTCTAGTTACCTTCAAGCATTTTGAAGATATCAAAAAAAAAAGCAGACTTTGTACAGCCCATCAATCCCGTATGCAGTTTTGAACATGAAATGTACTATTTATTTTTTAGGAGAGTTACAAATGTAAGGGATATGTTTCTCTCCCTCCTTCCTAGCACTTAATGGTATTTCTGGAATAAAATGACACCCTTTTCATCTTGTAACTGTGCCGTATTCTTTCTAATATCAAGCCATTTCTTTTCTTGGGGGCGTTTTCTATATCGAAGTTAGGCATAAGCCAATGGGAAGTCCTCCTAAAAACACTCGATAACCATGATTACCAATTTATGAAATCTGAATCCACGGTAATTGTTGGGAACTTTTGAACTGACTGTCACTGACTCTCCAAAAAGCCTTTTTTGAAACGCTGTATAATGATATTTTTCTCAAGAAGAGAAAAGGGGTTTTGGGCCCAAGCCAGTTTGGAATTAATTTCCTTTCTGTCCGCCTTCAACCAAATCCCAACTGTCCTGGAAAAGCTCTTGGCTTTTCTTTTAAAAAGACCACACATTGTGTACATTCCTAGAGCTGTTTTATTTTTTTCTTGATCACTTCATATTCACAATCTGCACTCTTGTTTCCTGAAAATAAACTCTTTAAGTCTCAAAACAGTTGACCCCTGGATTCCGTAACAATCGCTAAACCTTTATCCATAAAAATATGACACATTCAAAAGGGGGGGGAGCATAAAGAATTAAAAGACTGTTACCCGACCTTTAATTTATTTATTTGGAGAAATTATATTGCCGCCTACTTGCTCACAATGACTCAAGAGGGCTTACAGGAAATACAAACACGATATAAAGAAATAAAAATAACAACCACCCCCAATGACAACACCCACTCATATCAGCCATTTAATGGGTTCCATCCAGGTTTGGATTCCCCAGGCTCACTGGTAGCACCACGTCTTCAGGGGCTTCCAAAAGTTGAGCTAATATCCAGAGGGATAATGTTCCAGAGAAAGGGAACCACCACGGAGAAGGCCCCCCTTTTGCAACCCGCCAGACGTATCTCCTTAGGGGATGGGACCCACAATGTTCCTTGTTTCCCCACTCTAGTGGGTTGGGTGGATGTGACACGTAGCTGCCAGCGGGCAGCAGCACTGGCAGCAGATTCGGACAGTGAGGAGGTTGGGGAGGAACCTGGGCCAGTCCTGGAGTCTGGGGAAGGCTCGGACGAGGGCTCTGTGTCGGAGGCAGTGAGAGGGCCAGAGCCCTATGCCAGTTATCAGCTGCCTTCGGAGCCAGACATCAGTGGGGCAGACGAACAGCTGGAGCCTGTTCCCGGTGTGCGCATGTGCAGAGCTGCCAGACGAAGGGAACAGCTAAGGAACAGGTGTAGACTTGGGAGTAAGGCCACAGGTGGACAATGAATGTCCCCTCCCAGAGGGAATAAAAGAGGAGCA